AAGCAGTGGTATCAACGCAGAGTACTTGGAAGACAGTCTGCAGCTACTCTTGAACGCACGATAACCTACAAGGACAATACTATCGAACAGTGCTTACTGGAATCTTTTATGTTACACAGACGCTGCGTTACCTCCTTGCGAAAGGACCTCCACAGAAAAAATTCGAAAAAACTGGAAATGGAATATCGAGAGCATACTGTATATCAAAACATTTGCCTCGACGATCTGAACACAATCTCAGACAATCGCTGGGGGCAGGCGGGCACCGGAAAAATAGATTGCTGATTTCTCGCACCCCGCTCGCGGATTTTTTGCAAAGCAATCAGGAATTTTCGGAAGACCGCTTGCTGAGTCAGCGGATTTTTGAGAGACCGCCTGTTGAATTTTTTTCGCTCTTATCTTTTGCAGATATATTGCTGATTCTCTGAGAAATCGAGAACTCAGCAAGCGGTCTTCCGAAAAGTCCTGATTGCTTTCCAAAAAATCCGCGAGCGGGATGCTAGAAATCAGCAATCTATTTTTCCGGTGCCCGCCTGCCCCCGGCGATTGTCTGAGATGCTGCTTCTGGATTCGGAATATATTCATTTCGAAGGAAGTTATGGCGTTGCGTACTCTGCGTGATTCGCATGGTTTCGCGGATCCTGAAATGTCGCGAACTTCCCGGATTATCGCGCACTCTGGCGGAAATCCCGAAATTCCGCGAAGTCGGAAATTTTGACATTCTGTGGACGGTATTGTAATCTTGAGCAGATCTTAGAACAAATTCGATCAGAGTGGCTCTCTACCATACTCCTATAGTATACTGTCTATGTGTCATCAGCGACAGATCAATGATAATACTGTTATCAGCACACTGAATTCAACCAAAATAGTAATCGATGATTTTGAAAACTAATATTGTATTCGGAATCCTCATGCTTACTTACCCTCCCCTGTGCCAACTCCCAGCCCCGTAGGTGAACTCTGCAAAAAAATCAATGAAAATCGATAAAAGTAATCGATAATTCTGCAAACTAATATTGATTCGGAATCCCCATGCTCACTTACCCCCCTGTGCCAACTCCCGGCTAGGTGAACTCTGCAAAAAAATCGAAAAAATCGATATCGATCGACGACGAAAAGTAGCCTATGACACCCGCCCGGCCCCAAAGTGTATGTGTAGTTTGGTCCGGATCGGTTCAGGAAATCTTCTGTTCGGAACATACGTACATACAAACGGACAAACAGACGTTTAGCTTCATACATAAGATGATGCGTCTCGCCGAGCTGAATCGAGCGGTGTCCTCGGATTCAGAATTTGTCCATTCTCGAGATATGGCTAAATTTACGATCATTCCGACGGACTCTAGTGGAGTGTGGCGCACTCTGTCGCACTACGGCGGAGTCCGCCGCAGTCTGGCGACTTTTTGACGAATTATGAGCGGTATTGTAAGTCTATTTGGTGGTCAAACTTTTGCCGGAACACTGATCAATCTAATACATGGAGTACAGTTCAAATCGCAGCAGCAAAAAGGTTATCTTCTTACTTGCAACGTTGCTCATTTCAACTATCTTATGCTTTCTCCAAGAAGCAAAGAATGTTAGATGGAATTAGATTTTAGTCTGATAGGACATGTAGTCAACATTATCTCCTAAAACAATTTTATGTGATGTGTCCCTTCGCATTCGGTTGCTTCACTCATAAATTGATGGTAAACTGATTTCTATTCCACCTTCAATCCAGCTCACAAGAGACAAATTTGCAAAAAAATGCATTCGCTATGACTGCAAACAACCAGTGTATTTATTGAGCGAAGTCAGGCGTTTT